CAGGCAACGGACCGAGAATCAGTGAGCTTCGGGCTGATATAGCCAATTGTAGACAAAACGGAGATACGGTGATGGTGTATTATGGAAGATTTAAGAAGATGTGGGATGAATTGACAATTTACAAGTCCATTCGATCATGTAGTTGTGGAGAATTGGCTGCTCAGTTGGAAGAAGATCGTAATGAAGAAAGAACCAATACCTTCTTGAATGGTTTAGACTCTGCGAAGTTTGGTACGGTGTGTTCTACAATCACTAGTATGGAGCCTCTACCCAAGCTATCACAAGTCTACCAAAGGATCATTCGAGAAGAGAGACAACTCACGATTACTAGGAATGGTGATGCGACTCCGGATGATGTGGGATTTGCGGTCCAGGCAGCGCAGCGCGGTCAGACTTCAAATTTTTATCGCGAGAAGGATGTGACATAAAACTCTAAGAATTATACTATATTTACATATAACTCCCTAATAAAAACTATTACTTGCATCCATGTTTTATTTTTAGTTTGTTACTATTAACTTTCTATCTATCCTTTTTTGAAACCCCGAAAATAGATAAACATAATTAAGGGGACAATGATCTCAATAGTCATCACTTACTCACTTCTCTGGTTTTCCACAATATATGAATATATATATATATATATATATATATATATATATATATATATATGTTAATCTCTCTATCTAGGAGTAAATCATGTAGAATTTCGATGGCATATACACTTAATTAGATATGGGATCATAATAAAACGTTTTTTACTTTTTAGATATGAGCTTCTTAATTGTTAGCCTAAAGTCGAATACGTAGTTGACAAAAGTAAATAAAAAAGGTCGTACGTATACACCCTGTTCAAAAAATCTCCGCGTAGATCCGATTACTCTCCGCTTAATCGCTAGGCCCACCCTATCCGCCTCGATTAATGACTAATCCCCTAAAGAAATCAGTCACCCGATTACTCTCCGCCTAATCCGATTACTTCCCGCCTAATTCGATTATTCCCCGCCTAATCCGATTATTCCCCGCCTAATCTTACATACCCCGATTATTTTTAGATTGCTAGTATAAACAAACTTTTTATTTTTGTTATTCAATCATTTGAATTGGGAGTTTGTAATGTTTTACAATAACTTATGTTTAAATTTTAATAAAAATCATAAATTTGTAATAAAAATCATAAAAATTTGTCTCAAAAATATATTTTTATGTGTTTGATGCAATTTTGAAAAGAATATTGGATTAATATGTTTTAAAAATATTAAAATAACCCTAAAACTAATCCTCGATTAATCCTCGATTTTAATCCGATTTTCCGATTAATCGCTAGGCCCATGCCGAGCGTCCGACTAGCGCCTAGCGATTTTTCGAACAAGGCGTATACGTATTCAGATAAAAAAAAAAAAAACGATCGTATTATTCAAACTAAGCTAATAGTATACGTCGATATCGATATTATATTTACTTCCCTGTATAAGTATTCTATTAATTTTATCACACTACACTTCTTAATTTTATAACACATAGGTATTGTATTTGATAATAGATCTTACGATATTTAAGTTAAAGTATTAGTTAGTTGCTTAGTTTGACAAAAAAAAATGTACTAGTCGTTGGGGATAGTTTTTTTTTGGATAAAAGTATGTGAAGGATAGTTACTTTTTTGGCAGTGTTCAAGAAAGCGTTAGGCGCTAAGCGGGCGGTGATCTAGTGCCTAGCGCCTAGAACGCCTAATCGAGGTGTAGGTGATTTTTTAGGTGGTTTAGACGTTTATAACATAAAACATTATAAATATGATATTATATATAAAAGTTATATAAATATCTATATAAAACTAAAAATTATGAAATTATAAACAAAAACTAAATAAAACATTTATTTATATTTATATTAAACAATATATGAATATTTATAACTATATATATAAATAAAACTCTAATTGAAATTGAAAAAACACATTAAACAAGTTCTATGTAATTCTAGGCGGTCAAGGCGGTTATCTAGGCATCGCATGAGAGCCTAGCGCCTAATCAGGGCCTAGAAAACCACGTAGACCGCTTTTTATAACACTGCTTTTTTGGTAAGCGTTGTTAATAATACAAAAATAAATCTACTTTTTGCTAAGCTAATAAATTAATCAAGAAACACTTTAATTAGTTAATAAATACCTTAAAAGGCCACAAAAATTATGATGTGCCCTTTTGGTAACGCATGCTCTCTCTTCCCTTTCCCTTTACGCATTTTCTTCTCCTCGATATTTATTGTTATCTGACGAATTTTGCAAATTTAATTAATCGTCTCATCTCTCAGGCATCGAAACAAAGTCTACAAAACAAAGAGAATAAATTACAGGGAATGAAAATACTAGGCTTGTACGTTTGGATATTTGGGTCGCATTCGGGTTCGGGTTTTTTGAGATTAGAAAAGTAAAATCCGTTCGGGTATTTTAAAATTTCGGGTTTGGGTCGGGTTCGGATCGGATATTTCGAGTTCGGATTCAGGTTTACCCGAAGTATTCAAATATTCTATGGTAAATTAATCAAGAAACACTTTAATTAGTTAATAAATACCTTAAAAGGCCACAAAAATTATGATGTGCCCTTTTGGTAACGCATGCTCTCTCTTCCCTTTCCCTTTACGCATTTTCTTCTCCTCGATATTTATTGTTATCTGACGAATTTTGCAAATTTAATTAATCGTCTCATCTCTCAGGCATCGAAACAAAGTCTACAAAACAAAGAGAATAAATTACAGGGAATGAAAATACTAGGCTTGTACATTCGGATATTTGGGTCGCATTCGGGTTCGGGTTTTTTGAGATTAGAAAAGTAAAATCCGTTCGGGTATTTTAAAATTTCGGGTTTGGGTCGGGTTCGGATCGGATATTTCGAGTTCGGATTCAGGTTTACCCGAAGTATTCAAATATTCTATGCAAAGTATTGAAAAATACTCAAAAAATTTATAACCCAAGTGTTTTTTACCCGAATCTTGCCAAAAGTAGCAAAAACACCCAAAAATATCTTAACATCCGAATAATTTAGGCGCTTAGATTATTACAAGTATAAATATTATTATTATATTATAACTATGTACTTATATTTCGGGTATGTTCGGTACTTGTTCGGATTCGGGTTCGGGTTTTTTGGGTTGTGAGTTAGAACCCGTTCGGGTATTTTAAAACTTCGGATTCGGGTTCGAGTCGGATTTTTTGGGTCAGGTTCGGTTCGGTTTTTCGGGTCGGGTATTATGCCCATGCCTAGAAAATACGGTCAATTGAAAATTAAATTAAATTTATATTTCCTTTGTTTCTAAAAAATGATGTTTAAGCTTTTACACACTCTTTTTTAAAAGTAATTCTTATATTTTCTAATTATTTTTTATTAGTTTAACAGTATTGATTTCATTTTCTTCTATTTTTTATTGGTGAGATATGAAAATAATCATGATGTTGACACAAAACATTAATTTTGATGGAACAAAAAAAAATTAAAAAACAAAATGAGTAAAACTTAACAATATAACTGTTTAGTTCAGTTATATTTCTATATATACATGACAAAAATGGCAGAAGCTACGCCAAGGTGCGATGACTTTGGTGATTCTAATTTTGTAAACTTAAGTGTGTTAAAAGTATTTTAGTCGTTATGAAAAGAAGTGAATATGAGATTGGTGGTGTGGGTGAAAAAGGCCAACGCGTGATATTGCTTCTTCGACAATCACCTTTTTCCTAATTATTAGCATCAAATTTTAAGTTTACTTTATCTTTCTCGGTTCATTACAATGTGAAAAAGCCTTTTTGTCTCCAATTTAATTTCTTTAAATAAGATAAAAAGAATTTGCTCAAAAAAAAAAAAAAAGATAAAAAGTCAAACAAACCTTTTATGCACGCTACAACTTTGAAAATAGGTTTTCTATATTATGGAATTTCCATACGTGTGCATATATTTTATTGCATGAAACATGTTAAGTGGCATTGGTTATTTTTACAACAGAAAATTTTGGTTCTTTGGGTGTATATCTTTTTTGAAATAGAAAATGAACATGTTCTAAGAAATATGGCTTCTTTTTTTGTCAGATTTATCTATTTGATCCTTTCGAAAGCAATATTTGGATATCAGAAAGAAAAGAAAGAAAGAATCTTGCTTTTCACACACGAGTTCTACTTTTGTTTTTGAAGTCAAAAACGTTGTCGGTGCGCATTGAGAAGATGGATCAATCAAAAAGATGAAATTTTTTACTTTCTTTTAAAAGACTTTCTTACTTTCTCACAAAGTATGAATTATAGATGAATGGAAGAAAGAAATGATGAGAAAGGAAAATAAAGTAATAAAATAATCATTTTTTCTTGTTTTATGATTATTTTGACTGCTTTACTTACACATGCACTTGTGAAAGATGTTTACACATCTTGAGCACCATCGTGTCATCTTCTAGGTCAAGCTTTTACCCAACACAACACTCAAAACAAAAGTGTTCTTTTCAATTTTGAAACCCACTTCTTTCTTTTCTAATTTATCTCTCTTGTTATTTTAATTTATCAAGCAAGTCAATTATCCGGACGTTGGAAATTCTACTTGTTCATTTGATTAACATGAATAAACAATTATGAACTGGTATTAACATCAATAAACAAATATGAACAATTATAAATTTGGTAGGCATCTCTAACCGGAATTTCTCACTCATTATTAAAATTTAAAAAGTGAAAGGAGAAGTTAAAAACGAATCTAAAACGAGAGACTTTTTCAAAACTTTTGTTCCACGTAAAATTAAATTAAATACTTAAACTAAATAGTTAAATTAAATTTTAAACAAATAATAATTAAACTAAATAAAATATATTATTATTTTAATTTGAAGAGACTCTCATCAGTTCCAAACCGATAAAGATGTTCTAAATCTCAATGTTAGATACTACCGCATATTTTGCTATTTCAAAGATATAAATAGCCAGGAGGAAAATTAAATTAAATTTGACTTTAGTTAAGCTCTAAAATGCCAAGTTTTTTTTTTTTTTGTCATCTGAATTTTATTAGAAAAGCTTGTTGTGGAACCATGGAGAAATTACAAAAGGCCAAAAGAGGGAAACTAAAGTCGGCGGACAACGAAACAGTCCCCGAAGACAAGAGCCTGAGGAATACGAAATTTTCCCGGAAATTAGACCCTAACAAAGGGAACTAAAGACACAACTAGAAATACCAAGCAAGAAATTTCAAACCAAAATCGAGAGAGGGCAATCCCTTATACAAATAACAGAAACAGAAAGGCTTGAAACCTAGAAAACATCTTCTCCTCAAGCTCCTGCAAATGAGATTTATCAAGGTTGCCCACGGCCAACCCAAAGACAACATCAACCACCTCCTATCACGATGAGAGCCGATCTCTCAAAACCAAGAACCAAGAATTCATAACCCAACAAGCAAAACCACTAAGAGAGAACCTCAAACAAGCTTCTGGATGCGACGACGACGTCTGATACGCCCATGGACGTCTAGTTAGAATCCTTCAAAACACGATCCAATCTAAACAGATCTGAAAAGCAAGGACAAGGAGCGAAGCATTAGCCCTCAAATATCACCGCTCTCCGAAACGAGAAAGACGATAGCTCGAGCCAGCCATCAATCACAGCGAACCACACCAAGGAGAAGAGAATCTGTAAACTTGAGAACTAACACACCTTCAAACCAAACAAAGCTTCTGCCAACGAAGGGAAAGAACTAAGAGGGAACTGCAAGCTGATACGACGAGACAAGGGTGGGGAGGAGAAACAAAGGCTGAACGGAGCAAACTCTAACCAGCAACAAAACCACACCAACGACATAAAACATAGATAAATACGAGACTAGCAACAAAAACTGTGACATGAACAAGCAAACCACAATGGCATTATTCATCGAGCCAACCGTAGATCGAACAGATCCAGCATCATCATCTTTACTGTAATCAGAAACCCTCACAGATCTAACCACTCTGATCGCTTCCTCAACACACCCAACATCAACAATCGAAACAAACTAAACGATTCCCCAAACAAAATCTGGAAATTCCACAAATAAGAAAGGAAGAAAACACAAACTCCAAGAACATCACCGTTTCCAGATGAAGATACAGGAGACAAAGCCGGCAGGAGAAACTCCAACCATGAGCAAGCTCAGCTATCGCACACCATCTTCAAAACCCGAAACCAGATCAAATTCAAAGAAAGTTTTCTCCAGACAAAGCCGCAAAGGAAAGAAAACGAAAAACTAAAGCAAGATTAAGCAACTAAGGGAGTGGCCAGAGCCGGTGCTAAGAAAACCACTACTCTCCAGCCTCAGATCTGAAATTTTCACCAAACGGCGGCAAGAGAAGAGAGCGTTTTTAGAAACTAGGGTAAAGCCCAACTCTTTCTAGCTAAGTTTTTTTTTTCTATTCATTGTTTTTCTTGTGGCTTAGATCAATGAGAAAAGGATATTCATATTATGCCAATTTTGATATAGACAAAAAACCGAAATTAAATCAAGCAAAAAGGATGAATATTGGTTTCTTTCCTTTAAGTGAAGGCTTTCACATTATAATAACGTGTCTTCCATTGACCTTATCGTACTTCGAAGTCGATCAATCAATAAGGCGGAGATTTAGATGTGCTCAATAATAAAAATTTGACTTTTGAACAAATATGATTATTGAAGTATGCATGATTCGTGGAAGTCCTCTTGGCCCATTGGTTGACCAAAAGTTGATTAATGTTTTTACACTAAGAGAACTGGAGTTCGAGTCCCAGGTATTACGATTTATTAACAAATTTGCAGATTAATGGAGGTAAGTGTGCAAGAGATCTCCAGCGATGTACAATTATAGCCGTTCGCCAGAATTCTACGCAGAGAATGAAGTGTCGCCAGGTCGTGGATCATTGAAGGTATTCATCAAGATTACGAAGAAGGAAGTGTAGTCTCTCGTGGATCTAGTAAAGGTCGAAAGGAATTGTCAGTTGTAAAATCGTCTATGTAACAGTTCTCATAATTTATAATTAATAATAAAATCTAGATGACAAAAAAAAAAAAATGCATTATTCCCATATATATAATATATCAATGTTCTCCACTACTAAAACGAAGCTTGCGTTGATAATCCGTCGGTTATGCAAGTGACGAACAACACAACTGATAACATCATCATAAATATTGAAATATATATACATATTATAAACTAAATAGCTGTGGGTTATTATATTGGCTATGTAAAGAACATATAGAATCTATACATATGCTTTAATATGTGTGGAGTAGACTGTAGAAACATATTTTCCTATATGATTTGGTACGTACTAAAAGCATTTCCAACACATTTTTTCATTTAAAAAAGAAGTTGAGCAATTCTATGGAGTTAAGAGTTTTTCTCTAATCCTACTCCATTTTGGAATTGAATATTGAGGATTCCATCATCAGGCTAATCAAATCTCCTTAGTCGTTACACAGGTTAAGCTAACCATATCTGTGTCTTGATGTTTTCTCATCTTATGTTTTTAATCTTAAATCGTGTTCCTGTATAAGGATGGATTTGAAAGAGGTTATATATACGCGTAAGAACTTTCTAGAAGTTGGTTTATTTTAGTTAGTGGGTTGCTAGGAAAAGAAAGAATCGGAATCAAATGAGGCAACGTTGTTCGCATCATGAAATAGTGGAGAAGTCTTACTTATCTTCTGTCTACCACAAAACCATACTACTTGGAATATTTTCCCAATGCACATGTATACAACAAATATAGGAGCCTCACCACCTTTTTTTTTTTTTTTGTAAATAAACATATCTTGAACATTTCCGCATTTGTTAACTCATTAATTACATGTTGTGACCCATGTAAAGTATTTGTTAACTCATTAATTTCCGCATTCGAGTAAAAAAGGAATGCTAATAAAAAGTCAATGGCTTCATAAAATCAATAAATATACGAGCATTTAAATACCTTTTTCCCTCACTTCCTATGGTTATGATCCATGTAAAGTAACTATACGTACTTTTCATATCCATTAATATACGAGCATTTAACATCCAATTTAAAAATCAGTTGTCTGTCTTTCATAATGAATATGCTAGATAATGAATAAATAATAACGCAAAAAAGAAATAAATGCTAAGTGTGTGTTTAATTTGTTTGGATCATATGGCCTTCCTTGATGCTTATCTTTAGGCACATTCATTACATGAAACAAAAAATTAGGTGATTATTTATTCAGTGCCCAAGGGACCATCGCAACCACACAAAATATCTATCCACATTTATTTTCCATTTCAATAAAAGTCCACATAATAATGTTTTTAATATAATAAAAACAATGTTTTACAAAAGGGAGAATTTACTTTTTGTTTTTGTATGAATGTAAAATTTATATTCAACAAAAAAGACTGTTCTTACTTTACAATATCAAATTTCTTTGAAAAACAAAATATCAAAAAGCCAAAACTCAAAGTTTTGTATTTATATTTATATATAAAGTCTATTCGATTGTGACTATCTTATGCGTTTGTAATTTTTACATTCATATATTACTATGTATTACTCGAGACTTTATTGTTCAACTTCAACATCAAATTTATCACAATTCCTCGACACAGTTTGAGACATTTAATTATCGACGGATGTCTAGCGCGTATATGAAATTAGCTATCAGCATATATACATTGACCAAAAACATGATCTAATACTTTAAGAAATAATTGGCCCCATCATGGCTCTTGCACACTTTGTTCTCCATTCTATCGAGTTGGAACGTCTCCGGAAATTTAGATTATTGCTTGATATATTTGTATTTTGGCATATTTACGATGTATACAAGCACGTTAACAGTATGTAAGTGAATTTGATTGTTGGGACTTTGAATAAAAATAAAATAAACTAGAGTAGTTGTTTTTTTTTGTTCTTTTGGTCATCAATGCATGTGGGCTTATCTTCGGTGCAATAACATTGAATGTATCAGTTTAAAAAACAAAAAAGTGTTGCTTCGATCATCAATCAAAAAAAGATACAACTCCCGAAATTCCCGCCGGGCATGTAAACACATTGGATTCATCCATTAAGAGAATACAGTATCACAATTTTTCATTACTTTTTAGTCGGTACATTATACTATTTTGTTTATAAATAAGACTAATATGGCGACAGAAAATAAATAAATTAATATACGTATGCGTATTTCTGCAAGTACCCCAACGCGGCACCAGCATTAAAAATACACACTTATCTCGACCACAGACACACAACACATCACACACATAAATATAACTATATAGCTAGAAGAAAAAAAAAAAAAAAGTGTTATCAAATAACAAAAAAGGTTTGCGGTTATATATTACACTGTACCTAGACACAACCCTTTTTTGGTCTAGACGCATACGTATTAAACTATTAATTATGGGGTCGTATTAAATTATTAATACATAAGCCATGGTATTTTTGGTATTCTATTTGTTGCAGGCGGTTCGGTAAATCATGATTTTTACGCACACAATATATTTTGAATAATGTAAAATCTCACATGCTTTGGATCATAGATATACAAATATGATTTCTAAAATAATCTTTCAACCGTATAATTGTTTTTACTTATTCATTTGTAAAATAAAATAAAAAAGTTCATAACTAAAAATGTTATAAAAAGAATCATTTTTGATAATATATTGAATTGTACATTAATGCAGTTTTTGATAATTGATATTTGATATTAAATATGTATAACCGCAACCGCGCTTAAACGTGACATTTGAACGGAATTGCGGAAAAACCAAAGAATCTTAAAAATAACACATTTTCTAATGATGTTCTTAATCCTTTATTCACAAATAGATACGTAATATGAACGGTACAAATGACACATTACTGATAGTAATGATATTTTTGAATATGGAAATAAGTAATTTTCCATTTTTTAAAAATAAATGGTATCCATCAATCACACCCAATTCTCCTTTATATTTTTTAAGTCCCAACCAAAATTTAATAAAACTCAACTATACCGACAATGAAGTATTTCCTTTCATTATTATTTTTGGACTATAGTCTACAATTATTTAAATAAGTCTTACATAAATCCATAAATGATAGAATCTTTTGTCATCAACAAATCCACGATATATACGTATGGAAAAAGCAAATCTCTAACTTATATGATTTCAATAAATAGACAATAATGTTCATCTAGTAGCTAGTAGCTAGTAGCAACTTTACAAACTCAAGAATGGATCAATCCATAACTTACAAGACAAGAAAGAGAAAATTCTTTGTTCTTCCGTAAGAAGAAAGTCACACTCCACATCAATGGTTCAAGAGACAAATAGCTAATTAATTAATGTTTAGTTCGTACAAACCCAAGTTCACGTGTCCTCCTCCTGCTTCACGATGTCGGTATGGCTTTGAATCGATATCTGTCGCAGTCTTGAGCACAACATGCTGCGTATGGAGACCACTCAAAAGTGATTGAATAAAAACATCAAAAGAAACCAAACTCTTAAACTCTTTGTTAATCACATTTAACTGTCTTAATTATACCTTAATTTGTGTCCTGTTATATGTATAGGTGACGTGGACATTCCCGTCTCCGGCTTGTATAACCGCTGGGTACGAAAACTCCATTCCCGGAGATTCCTCCAACGTTAAAACATCGGTCCATGAATCACCGTCGTCTAAAGAAACCCCTACTTTGAGCACACCTCTTGAGTCTGTGTTGTAAGCAAGCACTAGCCTACCATCCTTTAGCTTGACTCCATCGATACCTGTCGATATTTTCGTTAATAAAATCGCGCTAAAACGAAGACTAATTTATACAATGTGTTTTGTTTCGATTTCAAGAAACCTGAATTTGGGTTTGGGAGAACCGTTGGTACTGCAAAACTCCAGTTCTCACCGCCATCAGAAGATTCTGAGATACAGATTTTGTCAATGCCGGTAAAGGATCTGAGTAAAACCCGTAATTTCCCAGCTGCGGTTTGGTATGGAACCGGTTGGATCACGCTAAGACTTTTGCCTTGAATGTATATTGGCCCTTGCTTTCTCCATGATCTACCTGCGTCTGAAGTGACCTGAATCAACCAACACATTTCGGTGTAAAAGCATTGTAGCATACTCTAAATACAGAAATCAAACCAAATAGTTTTAGGGAACCTCCATCCACGCTCCCCACGAATTCCAACTCTCAACAGATGATCCGCAAAGGAGTGTACCGTCTTCAAGCAATATAGGCTGCAGAAGAAAGAAGAAGAAGGAAGCTAAGTCTCTAACCAGTACAAAAGGTTTAATCTTTATCGAGTAATCGAGTCTGTGCAATGCAACAAGTACCTTGTTTTTGATGGGACCGAGAATCCCGGGAGGAAGCTGTTCTCTTTCAGTCCAAGTTCTACCTTTATCGTAAGATCGTTTCATGCAACCGCTCCATCTGAGCTTATCACCAAAACAAAAACAAAACAGATAAAAAAAATGAAACAAAACAAAAGAGTTACTCGGTTAATTGAAAGACATACTTTTGAACCTCCTGGCCGATTTTGTAGAACAATAAGAGCTCTTGAGATGGAAGTTTGAACAAGACAGGGTTCCACATTGGAACTCCTGGCTCTTCATCAACAATAACCGGTGAATCCCATTGACCATCCTGAAATAACCAATCAATTGTTACACATAATTATGACGTTAGAGACTCTAAATGATTGAGAAGTCTAACTACTACCTTGAAATGCTGCAACCAGATTTTGACATCAGGTGCTCCTTCCGTGGTGCCTCCGAAATACGCAGTCAGAAAATGATCTTCAACAACCTTCACAAAATGTATAAGTTGAGGACCCAATCCATCACTGTCTGATACTACTAAAGCTCGAAGCAAAAGGACCTTGTGATGGTCTAAACCTCAACTATGGTAGAGGCATGACAACTCTTGAAGGGAGCTGAATCAGCAGGGAATGTGAATGTCTCAAGCAACACTTTGAAATCTGTTTCTGACATCTGAGAATTTCATCACTCAACATATCAGCAGTACTCATAAGTTTCTTGTTTAAATTCCATGGAAATTGATCTCAGATATAAGTAACATCACTTCACATCACATGAAACAGTAGTTAGACTATGCATTGTTCTGATCATAGACAATACCATGATTAGCTTTCAAAGAAATCAAATTTCCGAAACATGAATTTCCCAAATCGGAGTTGCAAGTTTTCGTCTTTCCGAGAATTCAAGTTTGCAAAACCCTAAAAACTTAACCTTTGAGCAAATCTAAAAAAAATTGCAAAACATAGAGAAAGATGAGCTTACCTTAAAAAGTCTCAAACTCTCTCTCTCTGTTTCAGTTTCTGTTGAGTGGAGTCAACTCTACTTTGGCGGTGATGACATTGACAGTGGCGGTCAGATCCACCATTGACGTTTCCTTTGTGATTTGCAGATTTAAATCTACAGGCTTTTCTAAATAGGCCCTTATAAGCCCAATGGGCTTGATATAAATAACAAAAAGTTGCTACTACTAATTCTTACGATTTCCATTTAACAAAGGAAATTGCAATAAATTAATATGGTATTTTATTTGTCCTGAAAATAAGCTCAACGGTCGAAAAAAACAAAACAAACAGAAAAAACAGAACAAATCTCTTCCTCTCTGATCTGTTTCAATTTTTGGATTTCCTTCTTCTTCTTCCTCTTAACTAATTTTTGTTTTTCAGATTTTATCTTTCCTTTTATCAAAAAAAACAACAACAAAGATTCAAGCTTCTTATCTTTTCACAAAAACCCAGAATTCCTCAATTTGTTCTGTTTTTTCATATACTAATTCTTCAGGAAGATTAAAAGTTTCAAACTTTTTTGGGGAGATGGAATCACCATCGATTGGTGATTCAGTGACGGCGAGGATGATTCCACGACATTCTTCTCTCGATTCGTTCGGAGCAATGAAAGTCTCCTTATTGGTCAATCTCGCAAGCATAAGAGTCTCTAAAGCAGAGCTTCGTCAAAGAGTTATGCTTCCTAAATACCTCCGCATCGCAATCCGCGATTGCATTCTCCGTAAAGACGATTCCTTCGCCGCTTCCTCCTCTGTAGCACCGCCGTTAGACAACGCTTTGACGCCTGAGGTTCCTCTGATGGTCTTCGTTAATCCCAAAAGCGGTGGTCGTCAAGGTCCTCTCATCAAGGAACGTCTCCAGAATCTTATTAGCGAAGAACAGGTGTTTGATCTAACGGAAGTGAAGCCTAACGAGTTTATTCGATATGGATTGGGATGCTTAGAGGCATTAGCGTCTCGAGGTGACGAATGTGCTAAAGAGATTCGTGAAAAGATGAGAATTGTGGTACTTTTTTTTTATTGATTGATCTTTAATCCAAATTTGAAATGTCTTTTTCTATTGCCACTGGTTTGATCACTCATTACAGGTTGCAGGTGGAGATGGAACCGTTGGTTGGGTTCTAGGATGTCTCGGTGAACTCAATTTACAAAACCGGCTACCTGTTCCTCCGGTTTCTATTATGCCACTCGGAACCGGAAACGATCTTTCAAGAAGTTTCGGATGGGTGAAAAAACAGATCTTATTGTCTTTATTTGTATCTTTAATCAAGCTCTGTTCTAATTAGGGTTTATGTTGGTGTTTTTAGGGAGGTTCATTCCCATTTGCGTGGAAATCTGCGATAAAACGAACACTTCATAGGGCTAGTGTTGCTCCTATAAGCCGTTTAGATAGGTAAAATTAGTACATGATATGAACAATATGTTTCTTGAGCTCTCTGCTTAATATTTTGATGTTGAAATCTTGATGTAGTTGGAATATTCTGATTACAATGCCTTCTGGTGAAATTGTGGATCCTCCTTATTCTTTAAAAGCTACACAAGAATGTTACATTGACCAGGTTTTGATTTTCTCACTAGGACACAAAATTAACACTCTTTGTGATCATTAGTCTTTGGATTATAATTAGTTAGTCTTTGTGTAGCAGGGTTTGGAGATAGAGGGAGAGATGCCTCCATCGACGAATGGCTATGAAGGAGTCTTCTACAATTACTTTAGTATAGGTATGGATGCTCAAGTGGCTTACGGTTTTCACCATTTGCGCAATGAAAAGCCTTACCTTGCAAATGGCCCTATCGCCAATAAGGTTTTACCAAAACCTCTTGAGAATGATAATTTTCTCTAGGAAGTTTTTTTATCAAGAAAGAAAGCTAACGCTTTGTTGTTGCAGATTATATACTCAGGATATGGTTGCTCTCAGGGTTGGTTCCTCACACACTGCATAAACGACCCGGGTTTAAGGTATATATTAACACCAAGACAATATATGTTACAACCTCAAATTGTGGTCTAAAACCGGTTTGTAACTATCGGGTTTTAGGGGTCTCAAGAACATTATGACATTGCATATAAAAAAGTTGGACTCATCCGAGTGGGAGAAAGTACCAGTTCCCAAAAGGTATCTACAGAATAGAAACAAGAACACATTTAAAAGCTCTTAATTGGGTTTCTAATGAAACATGTGTGCATGTTTGCTGGTTTTTGGGGACAGTGTAAGAGCAGTTGTTGCATTGAATCTACATAGCTATGGAAGTGGAAGAAACCCTTGGGGAAATCTCAAACAAGATTATCTTGAAAAAGTAAAACAAACACATTCTTCTCACTCCACAAATCTTCTTATCAATTCTCCTTCTTATTAACGGTTGCTTGTGTTGTACGTAACAGAGAGGCTTTGTGGAGGCACAAGCCGATGATGGACTACTTGAGATCTTTGGGTTAAAGCAAGGATGGCATGCTTCCTTTGTTATGGTTGAGCTCATATCTGCCAAGCACATTGCACAGGTACTTCAATTCTAACATACCAAACCGGTTTTATAGATCAATAATTAACAAATATTTTAATCTAATGAACTTCTCCAAAACCAGTAAAATCTAGAAGTCTAGTCTCGTTCTCATCCCATTTACATATCTAACATATACAATTACACTACATAAATCTGAATGATATATATCGTTGGCAAATCGCGGTAGCTAATGCGAAAAAAAATGGGTTTTAACAAACAGGCGGCAGCGATACGGCTGGAGATAAGAGGAGGAGACTGGAAAGATGCGTTTATGCAAATGGATGGAGAGCCATGGAAACAGCCTATGACCAGAGACTACTCTACCTTTGTTGACATTAAGAGAGTCCCTCACCAGTCTTTGGTCGTCAAAGGAGATTGACTATTATCTTGACTTCTTAAAAACAAATTAATCTCTTCTTATTATATATTTGTCAACAATGTAATTGTGAATAACAAAAATACATGGAAATTAAAAGTATATACTTATCTACGATTTAAAGGCGACCAAAATGGCAAGGTTGGTTTCAGCAAGAAGTAACTAAAATTTTGGAGTGGAGGATGAGTAGACGGACACTCATACAAGAACATATACAATTGGACCAAAGAGTTATAACTTTCATAAAGTACTAATTGCCATTTGTACGTACGAACCACTTGCAATTTCTCTGTACTTTGACTTTTAGTACCAAATCCACTATATGTAAATTATGTCTAGGGGTAAGGTTTGTTTTTTTTTTGGGTCAAAGGGGTTAAGTTTCAAAACTGAATAATCTTAAGAAGATTAACAAATCATAAAATCATTTCTATACAATGATCATGCATGTCTATTTATATTCATAACAAACAAACAGAAAGAAACTACAAACTACATAAACCTAATTAGTTGATTGAATATATATAATTAACTCTTACTGGTTTGTAGGAGCCGATATATAATCAATCCTATAAGTTGGTGTATTAATGCTTCACTTCATATAATTTACGACGTAAAAATCAAAATCCAGAGCTTAAATATGTACATATCAGCACATAAAGTAAATTTCATAATATATTTTCAAGAAAAATAAACTTCTCTCTATATTTCAAAATCGTTACAATTTGTTTTGAATAAAATTTTTAAAGTGAGCTTCGATGGGACCAAACTAGCTAATAAAGATGTTAAAATTTCAATCACGGAATCTGCTAGTTAACGCTTTCGGTTTCTTCACGCTGATTAAATTTCAAACAGTTTTTGTATAGAGAAAATTACGACATATATTTCGTAAATTAAAACAAATTACTAATTGAAAAGCGGGAAGCCAAATATAAACTTAGCTTTATATCGGCTTCGCTTTTTTTATTTGACTCACTTTTGATTATTTTTGTTTTATCCTCTTCTCTTTTAGATTCCTTGTTCGTCTTTTTTTTCTTCCGGAAGCTTGTATAACAAACTATTTTCATATAGCAGTATTAATTAAAGGATTAAAAAAAAACTACAATAATTTCTTATTATAAGTGTATAAAAATATTGGAATTGTGAATTTGAAGTAGTGTTATATATATATATATATGTGGGGGGTCAAAATTATGATGTTCCAAAAAGATTGAAATCACATTATTAAGACGTGGGACTACCTTTCTTGTAAGAAAATAATGAAAAAAAATAATAATAATAATAATAATGAAATTATTCATGTCTCCTATAATAATTGTACTTCCATCTCTCAAAAGAAGAACATACTTTTTCATTTTTATCAATAAATTTACTAAAGGAAGTTTCACACCATGCACGAGATTAAATTTTTGTTACTTGATAGAAGATATGCTAATTTTAGAACATATCTTCTCTTCTTTCCTTACGAGCAACATCAGCTATACCAATTCTTGGTTGTTAAACCATTTATTACCTCTATTCTCTGCGCTGTTTGCATTTGTCCACCAGAAAACGAAAACACCGGTAAAGATGGAATATCAACTCTTTTTATCCGAAACATACATGTATTATAATGATCGTACTTAAGATGTAGTTACGACCATTAATTTGATTTAGAAACTCTTGTATATTCCAAGTTCTTTTTCTATATTATCTACGCTTCAAACGTGTCTGTTTAACGATGGTTAACACTTCATCTAGATTCATGCATAAACAACATTTATACTTAACTCAGATTAGGGAATTGATACGGACCACATAATTTTTTTATTAATTTGCGATATGTTTACTTATATAGAAATATTCTGTTTTAGTTATTTATATCGTTAATAATGTTCCTAATTAATGTTAGTTTAATATGGGATGATATACACATCGGATCCAAAGTTATGGGTTTTATAACTTCAGAGTATCCCCATATATAAAACTATAGTGAAAATGAGAGTTTAACTTAATCGCAATAGATTAATGAAAGAGTGGGATTTGGTTGGAATCTTTGTCAGAACATTGTTTGCTTTGGAAGCATTTAAGAGTTTTTGTAATATATAAAATGTTCCCTTCTTTATTCAATTATCTCTATACTATCTCTATACTATTAAAAGAGAAGTACAAATGCAAATAGATCGGGTCAAAATGAGAAAATTGACTCAAAATTCTGAAATCGGATCTTTGAATTTTTTTTGGAATATGATTTCTAATTAATATTTAATAATGAAAAATCTAACTAAAATAAAATATTTATTGAAATCAAATAAAATATGATTGTATTTATGATAACTAATTATAAAAGTATATTCCGAACAATACTATACATTAATTACGTATAATATATTTGTTCATATATTTTTGAACTAATTCCATAACAATCAACGTTTTGTCATTAATTTTGCTTATTTTAGCCAATTAGCATTAATTGAAAGATATCTTACTTGCTTCAAAAGATTTCTAGAAAATTTATCACAACTAACCCATCTATTTTATAAATTAAATAGATATTTTTATTTTGGTCGTATAAATTAAATAGATATGAAATCTATGTAACTAATTTTAATTTAATTAAATTAAACGAAATTATGGTATTTTCATACTGATAGCTTACCAAAGAAGTTTAATTTTAAAATTATAAAGATTTCTTGAATATGATTTTTAGAATTATTCAACAAGATGATAAATATTTATTAAATTTTGCGAATCATGAAAAATAATAATTAATTTTTAATCGTTATATTTTACCTTTCAAAGTTTCAATCTCTCATCTAAGAAATAGGATATAGATTATATTATGGGGCTTTTGCAAAAATGCCCCTTTTTCAATGTCACTTTTCAAAAATGCCCCTTCTTTAAAACCTTATAAAAAATGCTCTTAAAAATATAAGATTTACCCAAATATGTATGTAACATTATTAAAACATACACAAACTACATTTATATGTATCTAAAATCTTATAAATACTTTATAAATACCTTATAAATGCATTTTAAATACCTTTAAGAACCTTTAAAATATCTTGTAAAACCTTTGGAAAACTTTAAAATCCTTTAAAATAACTTGTAAAACCTTTAAAAATACCTTATAAAACCTTATAAATATTTGGATCGAGTCTTCAAGTAGTAGTTACAATCCATAAGTACCTTATAAACCTAATAAAACTTTATAAAATTTTCAGATTTAAAAAGGGGCATTTTTGAAAATAGACATCTAAAAGGGGCACACCAAAAGAGATTTTTAACAATTTCTCTTATATTATTCATATGTCCAAACTCTATTTTGTTGTATGACTAAACTTTAAATAATATTCCCACTAGAGCTGTCAAAGCGAGTTGATTCGTCCCGTTAAGCCCGTTTTGTGATAGGCAAAATATATTTTGACATATAGTTAGTTGGTCCACACGACCCGCAGATAGCATATATGAAACACAAATCCGTCCCGCAAATGTATGCTGATTTGCGGGGTTGTCCGTGGATTTTGTTTAGATAATTTTAAAGTAATGAAAATTTAAAATACTACTAAAATAAATAAATAAATAAAAATTAGAGGAAATAATTTTATATCTCATTATATTTATAAATATTATAATTTCATTTATTAAAAGTTTTTAAATTACCCAATGTTGAATAAATTATACTTTTATCAATAAATACTAACATGCAGGCTGATCCGCCAACCCGCGGACGAAAATCGATTAAAACTTATGATCTACTGCGAATATCCGTGTGGCCCGTTTATTTACGGGTTTAATATATTTTCACAAATATGCCCCATAGTGAGATGATTTGGGCTCGACCCACGGTTTTTGACTTATTTTTACTGCCCTAATTCCTATGAATCATCTAATTTTAGAATTCTAAAATATAAAATTCTATTTTTAATCATAATTAATATGATCGGTTTAATTATAAACATTTAACATTTTCTCTACAATTCTTTATTATGAATATTTATAAGTACACTACCCGATTCGCTCAACTTAAAACACGCACTATTAAACTTAACGTATGTAAACCAATATTCTCTCGCGGTGGACCGCAGGTCCGATCCTAGTTAAATCTTAGAAAACTATTAACACAATATTAGTGGACTCATTAAATAATTGTTAATTATATTTGTTGTATGATTAATAATAAAATAAAATGAAAAGAATAAAATGTGGAAATGAGGACGTAACGTAAGAGATTAGAATAGACAGAGAAAAAAACGTAAGTGATTGGAAATGATGGAATGATCGTTTGTTCTTGACGTGTACCTCTGAGTGGGAAGCTGACGCTGAGAAATGGACCCCTTATTATCAATTATTTATTCAAATATTTCCAAAATCATTATTCTATTACAAATTTATTCATACGAAACAGTACGAAATTTCCCTAGACGACAAGAACAAACACAACAAATATTCCTCAGAAATTCCGTCTTTGCCAGGAGACCTCGAGAAGAAAAATGCCTTACATTAAGTTTTTTCTTATAACTGTATGATTTTGGACCAAAACATAGCTAAACTAATTTTTAAGCGTAAGGAAAAGGAAAAGCAAAAAAAATATACTATATATTTTACAGAAATGCAAAAAAATACAAAATATTACCTGAATGGAGATGGATTTAATAAGAAAACAATGTTAGAAAAGAATATACATATAGTAGCTTGGAGATTTTTCTCAAGTAAAGACAAAAGGAAAGCTAGCCTAGAGATTGATCGAGTTTGGAGGATCTAATGTTATAGTGTTGTTCACATGGTTTGAGACTTTGAGTTTGGAGGATCAAATGTTTAGTGTTGTTCACATGGTTTCGGTTATTTGAGGGAAGTGAACTCTGCGAATGACCTTAAAAATACTTTTAAAAACAAGAAAATTAAAAACACAAGAGAAGTTTGTAGCGAGTACTGATTTTAATGGTTTATTTGGGAGAATTTTGATTTTTTTTTTCTAACTGGAATTTGAAATTACTGAGTATATAGTGATATAGAAATTTGAATATGGGCAACACTAAAGCAATTTTCTGACAATAATTTTCACATTCTCTAGTGAAATTTTCAAGGTATTTTATTAGTCGTCATCTCATCGCAGTTTGGATATTAGCAAATATAGCTGTTTTTTACTTGGTTTCAAATATAACGAAAATGTTTCATCGAGAACGAGAATAAATTATGCACTGATCTCTTAAATCGAGTTGTCTAAAAGTTCGGACGCTCTCTTTTAAACTAGTAAAACAAACTATTGAAAAAAAAATGAGCATCATAAAGTGAGTTGTGTGTGTTGTTTTCAGTTGTTCTAATCGTTTTCTCAATGTGTGTGACTAATCGAGAAAAAGCAAATGATAGGAACTTGACCAAATAAACTTTGATCCAAATAGACTGTGCAAAAACGTGGGACCTTTTTTTGTTATCTCATATATAGTTTTTAAAATTATCATTGATGAGATAATTGAGGCCTCAGGGATATGGTTTGGTATGTTGTTTCCAGCTTTTTTTCATTGGGGTTTTCCACTTTTCATTTTTAATATATATAATCTGTTGTACTTCTCTAATATTTCATTAAAATAATTTTGAAACGTAAAATTTGTTATGTTCTTGCTAGAATGATGATTTTGGTGCATAGTGGATTTTTTATATATATATCATAAAAATTCGATAGTCACTTGTTAAAAGCATTTTATGGTGGTGGTGGGCTACCGTCTGTTTTTTCATTAGTATTATTGTATTTTCGATTTTCGAAAGGATTTATGCGCAGGTTCACGTGATATATAAAAACATTTTACTTATCATGATAATCATCTAATAATTTTATATGCTACATATGAATATATGTGAAATTAATTTGTTTATATATAGTAAATATTTATATGTATATAGATATAGCATGAAAATTTATTGAGAGCGAGTGCGAGTCTTGTAGTCCTTTCTTTGCCGAGTTTTCAAGGTCTCATATATATGAATTCATTTGTTTGTTTGATTTTTAACAATCATGCATATAGAAAAATATTGGAGATGCAAAATGTTGGTTATATATAGTGGAAATCGAAGTAAGAAGATTTAAACAAACATGTATTTTTAGTTGTTTTAGGTAACGTTCACTTTACTTGTTTGGCGTTAACGGTTATTACGTTTCCGGCTATCTCTCTCATGCGACGCCTAGATAACCGCCTTGACCGCCTAAAATTATATAGAACTTGTTTAATGTATTTTTTCAATTTCAATTAGAGTTTTATATATACATAGTTATAAATATTTATATATTATTTAATATAAATATAAATAAATGTCTTATTTAGTTTTTGTTTATAATTTCGTAATTTTTAGTTTTATATATATAACTTTTATATATAATATCATATTTATAATGTTTTATGTTATAAACGTCTAAACCGTCTTAAAAATCGCCTAGGCTCCGATTAGGCGTTCTAGGCGCTAGGCACTGGGTCACCGCCCGCTTAGCGCCTAGCGCTTTCTTGAACACTGGTTTTAGGTAACGTTCACTTTACTTGTTTGGCGTTAACGGTTATTACGTTTCCGGCTATCTCTTCACGTTTGCATCGCTCACCTAAATTTTAGCGGCTTTAACGGAACCGTTTTTGGTCAGTCTCTTGTCCTTATCTTATTCCCCTTAATCGCCTCTTAAAAACCCTCTCTCTTCTTCACAGTGTTTCTTTATCTAGTATCCCATCAATCATTGTTTATTTCTTTCTTGTTTTCTATTTGAAAATTCATCAGTTTCATGCCAATATAAATTAGAAAAAGAAGTATTAACCAAGTAGATGTTGATCTTAAGATGACTATTAGAGAGTATAACCACTAAGAAGATATTTTCATAAAGTCATACTATATTTTATTAGTGGATTCGACACTATGTGAATGGTTGTTAATTATCTAAAACAGTGTTTAAGTGTTACAATAAATGATTACGAATATTATAATTCTTTTGTTTATCCTTGAAGTATGATGGAATCGAAGATATTTTTGAAATTATCCACTGATTAAGCTTAAAAGTAGTAAGGAATACTGATTAAGAAACAGACCACATTAATTTGGGTCCCAACTTATTACCAGTACCTAACCAACACAAACTCATCATTACACGGCTCGCTATATGCATATAAACTTGTAAATTATTCTCAAAATACTACATAACATTCCTCTGTAAAGGGGATTATTGTTTAAAATATCTTTTTTTTTGGGAAAAACTTACGAAAATGCCCTTTTTTGAATAGTTTACGGATTTTGCCTTTTTTAACACTTAAAAATGTACATATTTAGGATTTTTTTTTCCAAAAATACGTATTTTATACCAAATACTAAACCCTAAGAACAAATAGAACCGACTAAACCCAAACATAACGAGTGAAACGCATGTTAAATCATATTTTTGGAGCATGAAAAAGGGCAAAATGCATAAACTATTTAAAAAAGGGCAAAATCCACAAATGCTCTTATAAAAAAGGACAAAATTCGTAATTTATTCTCTGTAAAGCTTGTAGTTTCAATTTTTGAAATATATAAACCCTTAACCTTGCTGAGATTATAAATGTTACCAATCATTTTTAAAAGCTACTGGTGTGAATGTGAACGTCGATCATTTATGTAAATTTGTATGTAACAAACACACATTTTATTGACTCTAGAAAAAACAAAAGTAGATTTGTTTGTTCTTTTAGATGTTTGTACGCGACTTAAAAAGGACAAAAAAATGAGAATGGTAAATCTCAACAGCCACAACAAAAAGTTTACCATTGAATTAAGAGTTTTCTTAATATACAACTTAATACTTACCTTATCTTAAAAGTATGTTTGAAATTCATAGGGAAAAATTGTTAATGTTTTTTTTACAAAAAAATAATAATTCAAATTACATATACAATGGTTAATCCTTTTGGATTGATACACAACCTCAATTACTTTGGCAAACGGCAAAAATAAGACATAACATAAGACATAAGTTATGCACTCACGTCACGACTCCATGTAATCATCAATGATAATTGATAAACATAAAAACTGAATTCATATTGCTTTATTTTCTAACTCACTCATTAGTCATTACATACAAAATACATAATAAAGAATAAAATTTTCCATAAATCAGAAGTAGAAAGAATCTCATACGCAAAATAATAAAATTAAAGAAAATTGATACGTCACACACAATCCACAACGTTAATTCGCTTCCTCTCTTCTATAAAACCCTCTTCGTCACTCATCTTCCTCCTCACACCAAAACATTTTCTTAAAAAAAAAAAACACAAAACTCAAAACCATCTTTTTTGTTTTCTTCTCTCTCTTTGTGGAAAAAAAAAATATGGAAGGAAGACAATATTACCCTCCGAGAGAAAACGTCGACGGAAACAGAACCGCCATGGGAGGACCTCACTCGCCGTGGCATTCACCGGTTCCTTATCTCTTTGGTGGTTTAGCGGCGATGCTTGGTCTCATAGCTTTTGCTCTTCTAATCCTCGCTTGCTCGTACTGGCGTCTCTCCGGTTATCTAGACGGCGAGGAAAACCAGAGCAGAGAGAGAGATCTTGAAGCCGGAGACGTCAAAACTGAAAAAGCAGCGGTGAAGCCTGTTGCTTTGCCGGAGAAGTTCTTGGTGATTATGGCCGGAAATATCAAACCTACTTACTTAGCAACGCCGGCGGTAAAAACGTGTACTTGTGACGATGATGACGATGGAGATGATGATGACGTGGAGGGTAATGATCAGGTGGTGCGGCGGAGTAGTGAAAGTAACGGTGAGACACATTGACAAAAACAGAGGAAAGGAAGAGAAAAACAGAGGATCGTCTATTTGTGAACAGTTTTGAAGAATTGTTTGCAGCTTCTGACCCGGTTGCGTCGGGTATCCGGGTCGGGTCAGAACTCTACTTGATGTTGAGACTTAATAATCCTACGGTGGTGGAAAATTTGGAATTGGGATTGGATTATTTGGAGGTGCTTTGATCAATGATGTATTTAAAATCTCAGCTTTTGCCTTCTGAATCATTTAATTCGTTAGGCTTTTTTTTTTTAGTTGTAAGTTATGTTCCATATCTAGGTCATGATGAGGGAAAAAAATGTAAATTTCTGAGACTTTGAATGGGAAATTTGTGATTTATGGAATTGAGAATGAAAAACAAATAACTATCTTAGAAGACTTCAATGGAAATTTCTTGATTATGTTTCAAAATCACCAAAAAAAACAAAGGGATCATATGATGAAAAAATTGTACTGTTATGGTAAGGTCCCGTTCATGTTTTTCCGTGGGATTAATGTGACAATTGTGGTCCGAACAAAAAAGAAAACAGAGAAAATATCAAAAGAGTCTCCAGGTGAGAAAATTGAAGTGATTACCAAAGGCACGTGTGAAGGCACGAGCAGAAGAATGTCTGATTTAAAATTCTCTATAGGTGTCTCTAAATTGATGCGGCGAGGTGAAGCAGTTAAATTAGCTTCAATCAATGAGATTATGAGAGTCATGAGACCCTAATCGTCTAATTAATTTAATTTTTAATGACTTTTAACTGCACTAATAGGTTTCTTTTCTTTTTCCCTTTCAATCTTATCTTGTAGCCCTAACTAGGCTTCTTTTCTTTAGTATTACTTTTAAGCCATGGATTCTTTTACATGTACATTCATCTAATGAAAATGGATTACCAACTATAAATACTGAATATTCGAGTACAGAAATTAGACTTTAATGAATGACCGTCAATTTGTTGCCAAATTATGTTCTTCTTTGTTGCATACAAAAAGTTTTGTTTTATTAAAACAAGAGTATTTAATCAAGCTGTCGGAGGCGGCTATTCGGCTTTAAACGTGGATACGATAGATATATGTTGTGTTGAGCCCGATGTTAGATGTAAAAAAGTTTTTGGATTGGTTATTGGGTCGAGAAAATAAAGTTGGCTAATGGTGGGTTTTATTTGGACCCATTGTAGTTATATTCACTTTGTCCCCTTACACAAACTTTGGGCCAACATTGATCCAACAGTTGATTATTAAACTAGATTTTATATAAATATACATCAAAGAATCGTGAACCAAAACTCAAACTAATCTTCAAAGCTAGTGAGAGAACTGGGTGGGTATTCTTGTTTCTATTGCATTCATAGTGACTAATCATGTTTAAAATCATAGTGGAAAAACTCGAACTTTGAACTTCCAAGTTAAATATTGCAACTACGTACTGATACTAAATTAAAATCCAAAATCTATATATGTCTGAATTAAACCGTTAAATTATATTTCATTGTTTGCCTAATTATAAGATCCCCGAGTTTGAGATATCTAAATCTAATGCACGTGTATGATGTGTACGGAGGTTAGTGTTGTGTAGTATAAGACAAACAAAGCCAAGTAATCTTCGGTGCATAATTGCACATGTAATTATATGATTCAACGTCTTGTTTGTTGATATCATCTTTTGGTCCATTTCTATTATTACCTTTCATTTCATTTTTTTTAACATAACAATATCATAAAATATTGTGTACTTAATGTCTTCTCAAAGTCTCATTCATTGTAAAAAGTTAATATATATCTTCCCTCATTTGGATTGCCCATTCATGGCTCACACTTCCCTCTACCAACCCTTTGAAAACAATTTTTCATTTCAATATTCTTTTTTTTTTTTCTACTTATCTCTGAAATCATTGATCCTAAACTACTATTTAATCATTCTTTATATGATTGATAAACAAGATAAACAGTTATAATAAGAAAGTAGAGGCCAAATAGCAACAATGGCTTTGAGAGGAAGACAAAATCAAGAACATGAGATGAGACTACTTAGGCACAACAACAAAACATATCCTTTTGTCCCTATGGCCTTTGCTTACACAACAATCACCTAACCACACATTCACTTCAAATCCCATCATTGTCTCTAATGATCCATGTTTTTTGTTTATATAATATATTTGAAGCATATGCTTGTTTAGCTCTAGACTATCATTTGATTTCCAACAACAGTTTATGTGTGTATATATTTTATTGATACTCAACGAAATTTTGATCTCTAGGTTAACATATAATCTTGTGAGACTAACCCATATTGACAATATATTTTAAAATGAAACATTTGTTGATTGTTCTCACTAATTAAAAATTTATATCAAATTAGTTAGTAGTCAAGAAAGACAAAAAAAATCTAATAACTATAACTTTAAGGGCCTGATTGGTAACAGCTATAGCTTTACATTTTTTGCTGTAGAAATATGACTGTATGTTTATTTGCTGTGGCTGTAGATTTTATTGCTGTAGTATTTTGGTTGTAGAATTTAAAATTTTGGAAAGTTAAAAATTATTTGCTTTAAGAAAAAAGGTTTTCTACAGTCAAAAAAATGAATTAAGGAAATATTTTGGCTGTGAGAAAAGAAAAAGAAAGCCAAAGCTTCTAAAGCTTGATTGGATGTATTTCAAATCCTTAGAAATTTTTTTGCTTTGTAAAAACTCTAAAGCACTTGCCAATCAGGCCCTAAGAGCACTTCCAATGGAGTGTCTCAAGAAGTGTCTCAAGGATTAAAAAAAGAAAAAATAATTAAAAATAAGAGAGAGAATGAGACACAGTGTCTCATTTGAGAAACTGCGAGACACTGTGTCTAACACTTGGCATCATTTGATTGGTTAAATTTTTTTTTTAATTAATTAAAATTCAAACAAATAATTTGTTTATTATAAAAATATTAAATTATTATATTTGAGAAACTTATATCGTTTCTCACCATTGGAGATGCTCTAAGTCTTTTAACTTCTGATTCTCGAGTAATATTATGCCAAAAAATAACTTCATTATACTGTCATTGGCCTTATTGCGGTTTATGCTTCTTCGTCAAGACTCATACACACAGCTAATGATTATCACATGCAATGATCATCCCTTTTCCACACTCTTTATTAGTCTCAAAACATCTTTCTTCTTCCTACTCATCTCCCAAAAAACACTTGTCTTCTTCTTCAAGTGTATAGAATCATTGTGTTCTCAAAAATTCCGAACTTAGAGTGAGATAAGGGAGCAAAGGGCCAATACAAATGATATCTTGTTCAGAAGAAGGTAGTAACAAGATCCTTGTGGCAATCTCGTTGGACCGCAACGAGAGCCAAAATGTTCTATCTTGGGCCATCAATGTTCTTGCTAAACCAAGTGACACCATTGTGGCTCTTCATCTTCTTGGTTAGTCAATTTCCTCTGATTTTTTTCTTCCGATCATTTGAATAGTTGGGAAATGAAATTGTTAGTGTTGTTGCAGTTGGTGAAGAACCGAGAAAATTGCCAATGAAGAAGAAGAAGAGAACTCAGATTCGACATGCCAAAGCTCACGTTATCTCCATGCTTGGAGAGTTCGCTTACACTTGCTGCCACAACCAGGTACGACCTCTTTATTTTTGGAAAAGAAAAATTGGCGCAAGAGAACTTTTAAACCGGACTAAACCGGAGATTGTAGAGCTTTAATGAGATAAAACGTAATAAATCCAGGGTTTTTGTCAAGATAAAGGCGAACTCATTCATCATTGATCTCAAACCAATTGTTGGTGATGTTTTATAACCATTGATTTCGACATAATTGCATTACACGATTACTTTTCGGGTCGAATCAATTTTGTGTTCGAGATGTTATATTTCATAAACTTTATACTCAATAAATAAATTAGTCTATATCATCTATATATGATTCTAAGTATCATTTCACTTGATCTAAACTAAATAGTATGATTTTTTTTTTTTTTTATGTATATAATTTTGTCTAATCGAATTTTCGGAAGAAAATGAATGGTAATGGTAAAGCCCATTTAAGCCCAAGAAAATCCGCACGAATTCTCTGGACGGTTGGCGTCGAAACAGAGGAAAACGCGCGTGATCACACTCGCAAAACAAACATATAATTATTTCCTAATTACGAATCCACCCCGCGTTAATACTGTTATTACAATATTAGCAATATATTCCTGAAAAATAAAACCATTCAAATTTATTTTTTCAACTTAATAGGTGAATTTGGAAGCCAAGGTAGGGTTTAGCTCAAACATTGGAAGAGGACTAATCGATGAAGTCAAATCGATTTCTGCTCATTATCTTGTTCTTTCTCGACCAACAACCCACGAATTCAGGTAACAAAACCGGACATTTTCCGGTCCGCTTTAAAAATCTTCCAATTCAGAATTCTTGTAATAACTTGTTTGTGTTTTCCTCTCCATTTAGGATATGGAATGACATCACAAGATATGTCTCCGACTTTGCTCCATCAAGTTGCTCTGTTGTTCTAGTAGGAAATCAAAGAAAACCGCATAAAGATTGTTACTCTGACTCCGCGATTTCTCGAGGTTAGATCCCATTCAAGTTTGGTTATAAGAGTTGCTAAGTGGATTTTAAGACTAACAAATATGTTTTTCTTAGACATAAAGAGTGAGAAGTATTCACCGCGCAGTGTACTAAACGCTTTATCAAGAGATTCACTTAGCTCTTCGGGAGATGATGCTTCAAGCTTCAATGGTTCAATGGTCTCTTCTAGCTTCGCTTCGCCTTCAGGGAAACCAAAACATAAGCCAATGTCTCCATACAGATTCATATCTTCTCTTATCATGAACTCTCCTCTGAGGAAATGGAGAGGAAGCGAGACTAAGAGCAAGCTTAAACCTCAACCTTTAATTCAATGCTTCACTTACAACGAGATTTCAAAGGCCACGAATGGTTTTGATCAAGGTAAAACATTAGAGAGAGACCAAACTTTGGATCAAAATTAACAACTAAAGACACAAATTTGTTCTTTATAGACTAATCTAATTTAATTATTTGTTTGAATTTCAGAGAACATTGTAGGCATAGGAGGCTACTCTGAAGTGTACAGAGGAGATTTATGGGATGGAAGAAGAATCGCAGTGAAGAGATTAGCCAAGGAGAGTGGTGACATGAACAAGGAGAAAGAGTTTCTTACAGAACTCGGCATCATTAGTCATGTCTCTCATCCCAACACTGCTCTTCTCTTAGGTTGTTGTGTTGAGAGAGGTCTCTATCTTGTCTTCAGATTCTCCGAGAATGGAACCTTGTACTCTGCGTTGCACGGTAATCTAACTTCATACTACTTTGATGTTGTGATTATAATATTTCTCCAGTTCTAGAAAGAATATAAACATTGGACTGGTTTTTTCATTTATACCGCTAAAAAATCAAAACAGAGAAGGAGAATGGGTCGTTAGATTGGCCTATACGATACAAAATTGCGGTTGGAGTTGCTCGAGGGCTTCACTATCTTCACAAACGCTGCAACCACCGGATCATTCACCGCGACATAAAATCTTCCAATGTTTTACTTGGACCTGATTATGAACCGCAGGTGAGCTTTCTTGTCATGAGAGCAATTCAAATCCGGTCTCTATATGTTTGAAATGTCGATGTGAATATCAATGTGCAGATAACTGATTTTGGATTGGCGAAATGGTTGCCTAACAAATGGACTCACCATGCGGTTATACCAGTTGAAGGAACGTTTGGTTATCTAGCACCAGAGTCCTTAATGCAAGGAACAGTCGACGAGAAAACCGACATCTACGCATTCGGTATTCTCCTATTAGAGATCATAACTGGACGAAGACCGGTTAATCCCACTCAGAAACACATTCTCTTATGGGTATAATTCTAGTCATACCTACTTATTTGCCTTCTTAGACACGAAAGGAACCCCTCTGGTCGACTTAGAGGTTTCCTTATTGACTTTTTTTTGCCACTACAGATTTTACTGTCACATAACCAGTTTTTCTTGTTAAGTCTAATTTATTTTTAATGCAGTTGATTATTAAATTCATAGGTTTCCAATTCAAATATGAAAACAAATGTGGATTGGTTCATATATTTCAGTGTTTTATCTCTTTTCTTATTTTAGATATGTAATTCCTCACATTGATCATTATATTGATTAAAAAAAAAAAATTAACAGGCAAAGCCGGCGATGGAGACAGGTAACACAAGAGAGTTGGTTGATCCGAAATTGCAAGATAAGTATGACGATCAACAGATGAACAGGCTTATCCTTACGGCTTCACATTGTGTTCAACAATCACCCATATTACGACCAACCATGACTCAGGTTGGTTACATATTCCATACCAATCGTAGTCATTAGAACCAAAGGGTCCAATAACCGAATTTCAATGGTTTGATTTTGTAACTTTGTATTGTGTAATCAAAGGTACTGGAGTTGCTCACAAATGGGAACGAGGCTGAGATTGCAAAGAGCTGGAGAATGCCTAAGGATATGACTAATGACCATGATGATATTTTGATAATAATGGATGGGATGACTATTCTATGATTTTCGGATACGATGTTCCTTCGGATTCTTCTTTTTGATATTTTTGTCTAATATCTACTGATTTCTTTTATTTAGATTTTTTTTCATTCTTTTGCATGTTATGACTTATGAGATCTTTAACGTTCCCTCCATTATGTATCAGGATTCAAAACTAATAGAAATATCAAATAAGGTACATATACTATATTTCTCCAACAGTAGTGATCATGGTTCCAGTTTTTAACAATTAAAAGCAGAGTTAGCCAAAACGAACCATAAAATATTTCTTCTAGATTAAGAAACAAATTTATTGTATCAAATATGTTATGCGTTTGTGTGTGTATAGAATAAGATACATAAATTTTTGTCGTTATCGATAAAAATGATTTCATGAAAAATAAAAAGCAGTATCACTTTAGTTCATTAAGAAAAGAAAGCAATATATTGTATGAACCAAATCGTGACAGTTTTTTTGGTGGAATTTGTAAATACATATAATCCAATAAGAAAAGAAAGCAATAGTATGGATCTCAATGGTGACAGTTTTGTCGTGGAATTTGTAATAACATATCTAATAAAGGAAATTTGGATACATCAACTGAGATTAATTGAAAAAACTTTAGCGTTGAAGCTTAGGGAAAATTTTTGCCTTCTTTTCGTGCTGATGTTTATTATTAAGTAAACTGCAAAAATATTAGTTAGACAATGTAAAAACAATTAAGCCATGATATGTTAGTTATTTTTGTTAGTTTCTTTGTTTTGTTTTGCAATGGCAATGTTTATCTAGTGGAAGATGGGAACTGTTAGGATAGGGATTAAGGTGCAGAAGTGGACCACGAGAGCAGCCCCTTGGGCCAGTGATGCACGTGGTTAGGGTATGGTCGGACCCTCCACTTGTCTCCTCTTCGACCCAGTCTATGTCGGACCCACTTTGGGCCATGCAGGTCTCTCTTTCATGAAGCCAACAAATAATCATCTCTTTTTTCTTCGTTCTTCCCAATTTATTGGTTCAACTGTTAACAAGTTTTTTTCCCTTTAAATGTGACAATGTGCGTCTTTATTACCTCTTTTTTGGGGAGTTTACACAATTTAAAGATTGCTTGGTTTGACAAAAAAAAAAACTCCCCAAAATTCACGAGTCATAATTAAAAAGTTCTTATTACTTATAGTCATAGATGATCGATTTTTTTTTTTTTTGGGTACAATCGATTTTCATAAAGTATATAATATGTATAAGCATTTTGCTATTGACAATATTGTGTCACTAATCACTTAATCAGTATACAGTAGTCACCATTACCAGATTTTTTTTTTGTCACACTATTAAAAGATTCATATCCAACGGTTTGTAATCTGCTTAGACGATGATGAACAATCTATGAGTGTCTTACTTAGATGTAAACTCGTTCGAATCTGGTCACAGATACTGACGTATATATATATAATCAGTTAAGAAACCACAGCTTTCAGGAAAAGAGACTTAAGCTATATACAATTTTTTGATAAATAACTATAAGAAGTTCGTTAATAATAGGGATCCGTTTAGAAATTATAATATTATTAATTGTTTGCATTGTTACAAAATAAAAGTTAGACGTATATGTCAAAAATAAATAAAAAATGTTGGACGTATAACTGTATAAGTATTTTGAAGTGTGTCAACCCCATGCGGTGTTTTTTTTGTTTCACTTATATCGATTTTAGTATTAAGTCCAATGGAATATCGCATGTATACATTCGCACACGAGTTATACACGTTGTCAAGCAAACTTGGAAATATGTGTTTATAAAACAAATAGAAATCAATTATACGCATAATCATTTTTAAAGAATAATAATCGTATGATTAATGCATAATAGACAATGAGTTTGGTGGAAATCACCTAACAAGCTTAATCCAAGGTTAATTGGGGGAAAACCACCACTCTTGCCCGATTTATTCGTGACACTCAACATCCAACTTTTAATTCTTTGTTTTTTTGTTTGATAAATCACACTTTAGTTCTATGTATTGTCAAAACTTTGCTTTAATGCGCTATTATTAACGTTATTATGATTGTATATGTGTGGCCCCAAAGCATTGGTAGCCACTATTTGCAAATCTCAAGCTTACCTTCCAACAAAATATCCTGCCTAAATTGCCCCTTGCATCAAGGTCTCTAAACCCACTTGGACGGCAGAAGTCTTACTCAACGATATCGCAATCCAAAGTATTGATCATGGGTTATATTTTCATCCCATACTTTATATTCATTTCATAAAAAGTAGCTAGGTGCTTAAAATGTAAAGGATGTATAGAGGTTATATGAATTTGGTTGATCGGTTCATTCCGGATCGGACTAAAATTATCTAACAATCGAAGCGTCAAAGGTTTATAATAGTTTAGTGGTTCAATTATTCGAGAGGATTTTAATTATGGTAGATCAATGTAAACATCTTAAATGAAGAAAATAATCAGGCTCTTTCGTAGCCTCCTTGAATTAATTATTAGTCCGAGATTGTCTAAAAGGCTATTGGTCATATTAATAGAAATCAATATCTTAATGATAATTCGAGATAGTGATACCATAAAATCACCGATAACTAACGACAAAATATCACAGTTCAAATTGACTTTGACTCTATATGATAATAATCACGTTCTTGCAAAAAGATAAGAGACAGACAGAGATAAAAGATTGGCTCTACAGAAACCCAAAAGGCAAAGTTAATGAGGTTTCGGACAAAACCATTAATTGCAATCTTCCTTTTTTTCCTACGATTTCCGCAAAAGCAACTATTTTCACTAACTCTGCGAAAGTTCCAGAGATTTTGGATCTGGAATATATACATAGTATATGACTGCCTTGCCGAATAAAAAAAAAGGTAAATATTTTCGGAACAAAGAAAACAAATACTCCGTAAAAAACTTTCATATACGTATACGTATGACTATCTTTTCAAGATCTTTAAACATAAAAAAAAACTCACTACTACGTAACATAAAAACCACCCAAGTTATATAAGAAAAAAAGAAAAACAATTTCCGATCCTTTCCAAATGCTTCTCGTGCATGGGATCGGAGACAAAAAATACATGAATTAGATTAATTAGGATGATTTTTTTTCTCATAAAAACACTTTTTGCAAGTTGTAGTGACCTTAAAAATCGCCCCCAATTAGTATTAAATTTTCGTATAGTTTGTGTTTTCGTTATAATTTATGCTACGTAACACAATTAGCAAGCCAAAACTCCACCTAATCTGCATCAACAAATTTAGCGACAAGACAACATCAGCCAATTGATATTATAATTACCAAATTATATGATTAGCGAGAAGACAAGATCAGCCAATAGAAATTATACCAAATTATATGATTTTATAACATTTTCTAAATAAAAATAAGCATACATATTTATAGAAGAGAAAGAAAAAAAAAAAAAGTTACCGCCTTTATAGTGGCAGTGAGAGAGAGCGTAAAAAAAGTAAACGGGTAAAAAGGATAAGATTGTTTGTCTAGGGTAAGACTCACTAAACTTATTATACACCCACGGTAAATCGACGGTGATAGATGGGAAGTCTTCAAGTTGATTCTTTATCCACCGTAGATTCGAATTCAGAACGTTGGTACGACACCGTACTGTGTGGCGGCTGAAGCATAAACATGACTAAGGAAAACGTCGTCGTTTTCTGTCTCTGTTCTTTTCGCAAACCGGCCTTTGATCCTTGGCCGTGACTCTGCATAAGCTTTCCTCGAAGCGTAACGAATCGTCTTCTCAAACTTCCTGTTCTTTCTCTTCTCTCTGTACCTCAAAACCCTAGCTTCTCTATCCATGGAGCTCGTTTGATGATCACCAGTACTCGCCGCCGTCGAGGTAGTGATCATGCTCCGGTTAAACGGAATTGAGATTTCAGAAACAGAGTTGTTTGTGTTTCCGTCAGGAACAACACCGTATTCAATAGACGAAGTCGAAACCTGAAAATTATAAACTCAAAAGTCAAAACTTTTACTGAATTTAAGCAAAATTTATGATTAAAGATTTGATTTTGACGGAGGGAATTTACACTGTGGCTAACTGATTGAGAAGGGTAAGTGAAAGCAGAGAGCTTTGATCTGCAGAAATCTATATCGAAGCAATGATCATTGTTAGTTAACGGAAGAGGCTCTGTTTTCGTCTGAACCGGAACAAGACTATCACCACCGGCGTCGTTATTCGACGGATGATTGAACGAATTCGGAAACTCGAAATCTATAAGACGATCGAAATCAGCAAACATAAACTCAGAAGAACTGTTCATGTTTTCAAGTTCCGATTTCGATTTTAGCCGGTTCGTTGAAATCATTAGGAAGTAACCACGGACATAAACCGAGATCATCACCCATAACCGGAACAGCGGTTAAATCCACGGTGGTGGATGAGCCAAGGATTCCAAAAGTCGAAGAAGGAGAGATTTTGGCGACGGCGGTTTCAGCTGAGTCGAAGAAAGACTCTACGGGAACACGTTCGTGACGGCTAGCGAGTGGATTAGCTGAGTGAATATCGGAATCACAAGTGACGCAAAGAGCGGCGGCGTCGGCTTTGCAAGTGACGGCGGCGGGAGCTTGTTCGCAAACATCACAAACCCACACGCGCTCGTGGCGAGTGAAGGAATGGATTCTTGTGTCACATGATATGCATAAGAAAGCTGAGTCAAGTCGACAGAACACGGCGGCGGTTACTGATTTACAAGCGTCACAGGAACGCGCCGCCGCGCCCCACCCGCCGGAGATTGATTTGATACTCTCTAAGCCGAATCCCATTAACTACTCTTTTTTTTTTTTCTTTCTTGAGTTCAGAAAAAAAACTCTCTCTCTTTGAAGTTTTGTTTTAGGGAGAACTAAAGTTTGAGAACGTGTGAGAGTTGGGTATTTGATTTGCTTCGATGATCTGTCATGCCCAGTCGGACAGAGAAGGTACAGTTTGTTTTATCGAATTATCATGTGACACGTGGAAACATTACATCCACATAATAAAAATCGAATTACGGTATGGGTTTTTATTTTATTTTTTCCTTCGTGATTAGAGATTTCTGTTTTGTAAAAAAAGAAAATTAGGCTAACAAAATAAAAATAATTAGGCTCTCACAAACAAATAAAAATAATAATAATTAGGCTGGATATCGTAATTCATTTTTCTTTCTTTCTTTCATGTCGGAGTATCTGTTATTCAAAACATTTTTATTTTATTTTAGAGAAATTGTTAAAAATGCCCCTTTTTCAATACCCCTTTTCAAAAATGCCCCCTTTGAGAGTCCATTTTTAAGTTTGCCCTCTTTTAATTTTTAATGACCATTTTACCCTTATTTGAAACAAAATTAGGTCCACAAAATACAAAATATTTTTTGGGAGGAAAAGTGATCTCCCAATTTTCCCGCCAAAACACTTGTAAAAAACCTTTAAAATACCTTGTAAAATTTTCCCGTAAAATTTTTTCCCGCCAAAAAATTTTCCCGCCAAAAATTTTTTTTTGCGGGAAAAGTGATTCCGCAATTTTTTTGGCGAAATTTTTTTGGCGGGAAAATTTTTGGCGGGAAAAATTTACAAGGTATTTTAAAGGTTTTACGAAGTATTTACAAGTGTTTTGTAAGGTTTTACAATGTATTTTAAAAGGTTTTACAAGGTACTTATAAAGTTTTATAAGGAATTTATAACTTGTAAAAAACTTGTAAAACCTTATAAAAAACTTGTAAAATCTTATAACTTGTAAAACCTTATAAAATAGCTTGTAAAATCTTATAATATCTTATAAATACCTTATAAATACGTTGTAAAACCTTTTAAAATACATTGTAAAACCTTATAAATACCTTGTAAAAAACCTTTAAAATACCTTGTAAATTTTTCCCGCCAAAAATTTTCCCGCCAAAAATTTAACGCCAAAAAAATTACGGAATCACTTTTCCCGCAAAAAAAATTTTTTGGCGGGAAAATTTTTTGGCGGGAAAAAATTTTACGGGAAAAATTTACAAGGTATTTTAAAGGTTTTTTACAAGTGTTTTGGCGGGAAAAATTGAGGGATCACTTTTCCCGCCAAAAAATATTTTGTATTTTGTGGATCTAATTTTGTTATATTTGTGATATCTTTTATTAAAAGAAGGGTAATTTAGTCATTTTGTACATAAAAAGGGGTATTTTTAAAAATGGACAGCCAAAGGGGGCATTTTTGAAAAGGGGTATTGAAAAAGGGGCATTTTTGTGAGTCTCCCATTATTTTATCCCCAAAATAAATTTGAATGAATTTCATCTATATATCATGTACGTAATGGATTAGTTTTGTTTTGGCTGTTTTATTTGTAAATGAATAGAAACAAAGTCTAATTAATAAACTTCATAGTATGTTCTTGAGGCATAATTTCGTCTACGGACCGATACTAGCTTATAGTCTCCCTTTCAAACATGATTTCGAAATTTATGACATCGACTTAAATTCTTCTCACCAAACTATTAAACTTTGATTTTGTGTGTGTGTGTGCATATAAATTGGAGGATACCAAATGCTATGAATGAAATAGGCTAAGATTGACCATCCTTAAATCATAAATTGATTGTAATTACCGTTGTGGGAAAAGAAATTAAAAATCGTGTTCTTATAAAATTCTCACATTGGCTAGCGCTTCTCCTAACCTTATCAGCTCAAATTATTATTTCAAATCTAATATAGTATTAATGACCCTTACAATATTTTCTGTTTTTGTCGACCAAATTAAATGACCAGTATATATATTCATAAATTACAAATATTTTTAAAATAATTTTTTTCTTTTCTTTTGTCAATATGTATTATCTTTTAGAATTATAACTCCGTAGTTGTAGACTTATATAGTTGTATCGTATTCTAGATAGGGCCCTTTAAGGAAATTCATGAAATTTTAAATAAAATTGGAAAATAGGACAGGATGGTCGGCATGATTTAGCAATCTTTATCAATGGTTCGGCATGAAAGCAAATTTGATTTTTCTTTCTAATTACAGAAACTTTGACTTCGAGAAATCATAATATATAACTTTGCTTAAGATTGTACAATAGAAATAGTGCGATAGATTTTTACAGTAGAGCCAGAGGTAACATACAGGGGCGGATCTACCTTAGTTTAGATGGAGGCAGTTGCCACCCCTAAATTTTTAAAATCTTTTGAGAGTTTTAAGGAATTATTTTATTGCTCCCAATGAAAAATCTCTCTTGCCCCCGTAATTAGATTTGTGTTTTCCAAAAATATCTCTTCACGTTAACTGAAAAAAGGAAAATGAATTTAGCATATCTCTTATTCCCTATAATTTAGCTAAATAGTAAATTCCTTACAACTTTAAATCCAAATTTGACAACGTAATCTAAATACATAGTCCATACCATTTATTCTCTTTGAATCAACTAAAAAGTTAACGTTTAAAAATTTGGCCTCTTCCCAATAGCTTTAGTGGTTTATAGTTATGGTAATTGGTTTCTCTATAATATTTTTATGTATTGTATTTCAAATATTTGAGTTTTCTATAAAACAATAAATTAAAACATTAATACAAAATCTAGTAAATTTAAATTTTAAATAAAACTAAATATGACAATTCAAAATCTTGAATTTTTTCATATTGCTCTTTGATTCGTTTAAACTTAAATTAATTTTAATAAAAAATAGTATTAATTTAACTTTTTAGTATATAGTATAATGAATTAAATATATCATAAATAACATGGAAAAAACTATTTTAAATATTTTTGTATTTATTATATAAATTTATTTTTACATAATATATACTAATATATTTTATAAATATATTGTTCGCCCCCTATAAAAAAAATTCCTGGATCCACCACTAGTAACATATTTGTACAATAGAAATAGTGCGATAGATTTTTATATGACAGTTCTATCTTACATATTATAGCCAATGATATTTATCTTTATAACATATCTTCCGATATGAGATCCACGCAAAATTGTTTTGCTGTTTAGGGCACTCATGCACTGTATTTTGACCCCATCTCACGATTTTATCGTCAATTTTAAAATCACATACTAGTGTGAATCAATTTTCTGCATCTTCCTTTTTATTATTTTCAATATTAGATTCAAAGTTTAGAAAAGGAGACTACTCAAATCGAATGTTATTACATAATTATATAATTAGCTCGCCTTAATCACAATTTAACCAATAGTATACCGGAACAAAGTCCACCACAAATCGAGGATGTTATAGAGTACATCATCACAATAATAATATAATCCTAAAAACAGGTTTATAATAAAAGGGTAAAAAATAAGAAAACAACATATCGGCTTGACATTTCTAATGCGGAGATGTCAGAATCAATGTTTAGTTTTAGCACACAAATCGAAATAAGTTTAGTCAGTGAAAGAGTTAGGGTTTTCGTTTTAGATTTGTCCAAAAAAAAAAAAAAAAAAAAAAAAAAAAGATTCGGTTTAGAAAACCGAACCGCATCTTGGCATCAGAACTATCAACTACTCCCTCTGTTCCTGAATATTTGATGTTTTAAGATTTGCACATAAATTAAGAAATTTTTTTTTTATTATTTAATTAAAACATCTCATTATTGAAATGTCAGATAACGTGTGTGGTGTTACTAACACATGGGAATGGGAAGCTTTTTTCGATGAGAGTAAATAACGATTGGTTCGTAAATGAGAATGGAAAGTTTCACAAGTTTCATTTTCTTTGTCCAAAAACACATTCAACTCCACTTTTTATCATTAATTAATTTAAATAAAATAAATACATTAAATAAATTCTACAAAATCAAACTTTCAGGAACAAGGAGAAAAACCAAAACATCAAATTTTGAGGAACAGAGGGAGTAGTATTTAACATCGAACAGATTAATTTATGCTTTTACAGTCGCTAAAAGGCTAAAACCCTTTCTTTCCTTGCGTGTCAGCTCGTGCAGAAAACGTCATGCTTTGCGTCGGCACATATATATAATCATTAATTAACGTTCTGTTACGTTTTTTTCACGTTAATTTCTGCCCATTATATTTCATCAACTGGTTGTGTTTAGACTATTAATCCATATATTATTTTATGTTTAAACTAATGTAGGTCGCAATGGCATCAGTTCTCGGCTTCTCGCGTACCTCCCGATCCAGGCGCTCGTATATAATGAATGATCTTTTATAAGTATCATCGTTGTGTGGCTGTTAACATAGTTAAAGACATAAACACAAGAATTTAGTTCAACAAAATTAAATTCTTCTTTTTTGAACTAGTAATGCTAACCTGCTGTTAAATAAGTGTAACTCATCATGATAATTCCATATTTGAAAATGTATAAAATAGATACACAGAAAGTTTAATCCAAAGGATATGGTGCGCTGTTTTTCTCTAGGATAATTAATATGTAAGTCTCAACTCTCAACAAGTATTATAACTTTTAATTAAGCTATAATAAAGAAAATTAATAGAGAAATTAAGATGTATCGATGATAAATAAGATGATGAGCATGCCATGGGATATGAGAAAGTGAGCTGCCAAAATGGATCGACGAACAAACGTATGTAGAGGTCTTTTCAAACTTTTCTTTTTAAGTACGAATTGATGAAATGAGCCCATTTTGCTATGAATGAGTGTTAGCTTCGAACTTTGACTGTAGCGTGGTCCGGCCAAAATAAATTTTCTCCTAGCGGTCCACACTCTCAATTATTATTAAAAGTAAAAGCGAGTTCTATAAATTCGTGGATATATATAGAGTAGTAAATTGGAGATGTGTCTTTAGTCAAGCGGTTAAGTCTATTTGACTCCGCCTTTTCCACCGGAGTTCGACTTCAGTAAGTCGCGTTACCCCGCGTAGTAGGGATTGACTATGGATCGGACTTTGTCGATCCAATGATGTCAAAAAAAAAAAATATAGAGTAGTAAATTAGGCAAGTTATTACTATACTAGTTTTTTTTTTTTGAACACCATATTACTATATTAGTTATCATCTAGTTGTATTGTTATTGTTAAAGCACGACCGAAATGCAAAACAGCC